TTGACATTCGTTTCGAATATAATTTTCATATAATATAATATAACTTACACAGAATATTATTATGCCCATATTAATGCGTCACATTGTATTATTAATGCTTGACAAATTCTGTAATGTAAATAGTTTTCTTTTGAACTAACCAGAAGCTGCACTTTTTCCCCGTTTTTTTGTGCGCATTTGCGAATATGTAAATCCTGTTGCGCAAATTTCACATAAAAGAAACTAATTAAACAGTGCTCTAGTTGAATAGGCTTGAATTAGCTTATTATTCAGCGCAAAAGCTTATGGGTGATATTTTCATATGAATTGTAATCCGTTTTTAATTAGTTCGTTGAAATGCATTGAAGTGAAAACATGTGGGAAATGCGCAAAGCTGTTTATTTTATTTTTTTGTTATTAGCCGCTGTTGAGTTTGTTCCCTGGAATTGCGTAGTTTCTTGGATACGAGAGTCATAAATGCTGGCGCAGCTCTTTTACTCCTATGACGCGTGCGTGTATGGTTGTGTGTGTGTGTGTGTGTTGGTGTGTGCGTGTACCAACTTTGAAATTATCCTGATTCATGTGTTCATTTCGCAGCTTCACTTAGTTTATACATATTTTTCTTTTTTTCTGAGGGCTCTGCCGCTTCTGACTGCCCACGTACTTATTTATATTTTCTTTTTAAATTGCATTCCATTCACGTTGCGGTTTTTATTGTAAATTTTTTATTTTTGCCTTTCTACGCTCTGACCATAAAAAAAGTTAAGCGATGTATATGAAAGTTGTGCAAAATTTTTGCCACAACCAAAAGGATATCATCCAAGCGCCCATCCAGTATACGCATAGTTGAGTAGAGTTAGACATATATTTCCCGTTGACCCTGTGACTGTGGCGTCGATATCTTTAACATTTAACCATTTGAAAGTAATTTCTATTGCACTAACTGGAGAAATCGTCTCAAGCGATGAATATCAATATTCCATAAACTAACGAAACTGTTAAACTAATTTAAGCAACTAGAAATGACAGTTTTACAATTCCCAACTGTTCAAAGGGCATCTGTGAGTCGTGTAAGCTCGACCTAAGCACCCTTTTTCTATTTTTGTTTGGTTTCGCTGGAATTCCTGATCATGGCATGCGCAGGATAATTAAAACTACGTGCATAGGAGTGTAAAAAGTGTACAGCATGCATTTAGGCGGAATCGTATGCTAAATAGTTGTTTGTCTCATGTTGTTGTTGTGCCTGTTGCTGTTGCCTTTTCTGTAGCTGTTGGTTGCTGTGCCCTTGGTCAGCCAATTTGAGCAGCTTAAGTGGGGATTTGTGCAGTGCGTTTGCATAGAAAAAAACAAAAGGGGAAACATACTTTTGTGTGGTAAGTGCATGGCAAAAGGGACTGCGCAAACGATATACAACGTTGTGTGGGCGACCGGCCGCTGATGTATTCATCACATCGTGGACACATCGGAGACTTCAAAGCTCCATGGAATTAGTTGGAAATTCTTTGAGCATGTCCCTCACATATTGTGCTCAGCGTTTTTACAAAGTCATTTAATTCCATGAATTACTTGCACGCAAATGAAAGAAAAAAGCGCGTGCTCTCCTAGTATTGCTGAACAATGATAGTTAAGCTTCATACTTAATAGACCCCTTTTTATTCATTTCAAAACATTTTTTTTAAGTCAAAGGAAAAAACAGCCTTTTATTTAAAGACTTTTTTTATTTTCTTTGTATAAAAATTACTCATTGACCATAATGCATGCTTGTGCCATTTAGAATTTAGTATGGTATTTAATACCAAAATGACTTTGAACTTGACTTCCACAAAGGCGCTAATAGATTTAAGAGGGTAGACATTTGGGCGTGATACGTTGACAAGCAAACAAATGTTTTATATAAGAATTTACTACTCGTCCAATTGTTCCACCTATATTATAACAGAAAGACGGATATTAAGGATATGCTTACAAACTATTAAACATACTTACTGGCTGCTCGTACTCAGATGCTCGGTGGACAAGATACACAAGAAAACTATATTTAGTCATCTATATATAATTACCTTATTAAATGCTCTTTGCTGGCTAGCTCACAAACGTGTCTAATGCATTGCTGTCGAGTTTATCAGCCTTCAGATATCCAATAGCAATAATTGCAGCAACAATCGTGGCATAAGCCGACTGTTTTCGAAATCACAATATCTACAATTCAAGCCAAGCAGCTATTGTGATTCTGCTTTTGGACATGGACACCAAATTAGAGGCACCTTTTGTGGCGCTTTCTGTTATTCCAATATCCGGCCGGCCTGCTGCTTGTGCCATATCCTGTATCCTGTGAATGTCTGACCGAAGCAGCTGCTGCTGCCGTTTGTCTGGTTGCTCTCTGAATGGCAATTTTAGCTGCAGGCCACAGCTAGTTGTCATGGCAACTGCATTGTTAAGTGTCCACTGCAGGCCAAACCAGAAAGGGGTAAAGTTTGACATTAGCTACGACAACCGGATGCTTGTGACACCGCCCTCTACCGCTCTGTCACACACTCTCTCCCTCTATCTTTCCATCTCTCTTTTGTTAGGCATTGTTTTTAATCTAATTTGGGTATGTTTTCTTCATTATGAACTGGCATTTATTACTTGCCGCATGCGGAGATATTTCAGTTCAACTGTATTGTGCAGATTTGCGTATTGTCCAACACAGGTTGCATTTGGACAGCTTAACACTCGCTTACAACGATTGCCACAAGTTGTGCCAGGCTTTTTACAGTGAGCTGTTTTTTGCTTAGCAGCAGCTAAGGCTCAGCTCACATCCGCCCCATAAATAAACCAAGAAACCCCAATTTAATGCTCTTTATTATACCTCTGCGGAGAATATTATAATTTTGCTTGTTAAATAAGGGCATCCATATCTGGCAAACTCAGCAAATGCGAGCTTTGGCTTACCTCTAATCTAAGCCTATTTACCTTTTGTGCTAGTTCAATTCACGCGTAAAACCCATGTCTCGCCTTAAGTTTCGGTTCGTAAGCTTGGTTTCCACGTCAGTGAACCCAGGTTTTTCTACGAACCGCTCGCTTCGTCGGACTCATGGTTAAAAATTCGGTTTAACGTAAATAAAATATTCTAATTGCAGGTTCAATGCGGTTCGTCTTTAACATAAATGCGAGCTCTTGTCTTCATCGCGCTATTACTACATAAAGTTGGCATAGAAAGGCTTATTTGAGAAACATAAATCATATGGCTTGGCTCAGCATATTATATGCTGCATTCCAAAGGTATTTTCTCTGGAGCACAGCCAAAGACAAAAGTGCTTTGTTGTATTTTGTATTAACTTCTTTAAAGTCGGGTTACACGTGCTCACATTGAGCCAGCCGAGTGTATATAAACATAAACTTTGATATATTTATTTATATATATACATGTATATACTAATACGCATTTATATATTGAAGTGGCCCAAATGGGCGTGGCTTTGGCGTCTGCTTGAGTCGCTTAGCTTTGCGGCTTGCATGCAAATTTTATGTTTTAATAACAAGTTCTCTGGCATGCAAGCGGCGCATATTTTATGCCAATTGCCGTGCCACGCTCCAGGCCAAAAAAAAGGAAGAAAAGAGCCACAACAGTTATGCTACAGTTCGCTTGGGCACCCCACCCATAACGCCCACTTCAAGCTTCCATTTTGGCCTCAGGGATTTCGCTTTGTCTTTGTTTTACGGTTTCACCTTTGTGCTTGACTCTGTGTGCACGTGTGCCCGACTACGCGCGCTCGTGTGTGTGTGTGTGTGCAACTTGCCTCAAAGCTGCTTATTTTTTAACCCAATTGTTGTTTGGGTCCTGTAAATCAGTCACGCCCATATTTGCATACCCGCACCCTACGCCCACTCCCTTCCACTGACTTGTTTAGCAAACATTTTTCTTAGCTTTTTGCTAATTGCGTTTTATTGGATCGCATTATTGCAACTTTCATTTCTTAATAGCAAAGCAAGCGGTCCACTTCTGGGTAATATTTTATATTTAAATTTACATCTTATAAATATATATATAAATATATTTATATATACGAGTAACGACTTGGTTAATAGATCACGCAAATCGTGCGCTGCGTGTCGCATGCGTGTAGAATGCAAAGCGAATGCAAATGCAAATGCTGCATAAAATATGATTGCCGCAATTATATGTGTCCAGCTAGCGACAATGTTGCAAGTGCCACATTCATACGTCAGCCATTGTGATTGTGTATAGCTCCTTCTAACACAATCGACTGTGGCAGTTGTTAAGCTACTCATGATTACAATTTCAGCAGTCAAGTAGGGATTTTCTTTTCATGCATTCCCATTTATTCATAAATGTGAAGAGTAAGAAAGAGACTACTCGACTAACAGTTACTCTGCAACTAGCAATTCAAATGGGAAGGTAAAATTAAGAAAATTTATGAACACTATTTGTTTATTGCGTTTGCCAACACTATGAGTTTCTGTCAGGTGGCAACACGGGTACTCTATCTGCTTGACTTAGCTTAAATATATCTAGACAAATTATCAAAAGCTTGCTTTAATGAAAAAGTATTTGACTTATATTCTTGAAAAAGTTTTTGTTAACTAACAGTTTTTGCTGCCGTTTGCTATGTTTGTGCCCACTGTGCGTTCGGGCATAAAGATTTAACTAAGATTTCTGTTTTCATTGCAATTTTTATTTCCAGTCTGGTTTTTGTCATTTTCATTGCTGCTGCAAATTGTATGTGTTTCGCAGTTTTTACTGGCCGCGTAGATTTTCCGTTTTATTTCGCACTTAATTAAAAATATTTTGCTGACGTGTGACACGCACATAGATGGGTGTGGCCTCAGCTACAAGCCACCAGCCCACCCACCCACTCCGCGATTTGCTGCACTGACAACATAACACTGCATTTTATTTTTATTTTTTAAGCTGTCTTCTTTGATTGCAGCTTTTAGAACTAGTTTAAAAAAAAAGGCAAAAAAAAGGTAGGGAAGCAATATAATTTGATTACTTGCTGCAAAATTTGGCATGGCGGTCAGCAGTTCTTGGAGATGGTGGTATTCACCTCGTAATAGCAAATGGCCTTCTTGACGCCATCCTTCGGATTCAGGGAGTAAACGGTGCCGTGCACCGTGTACACTGCGTTCGCTTGATACATGAACTTCAAGATGGACGTATCGGGCGGCACCTGAATGATGTTCATCACATAGATGCCCTGCTTGAGCGGGCAGGCGAGGCTCATGTTGCTGCCGCCGCCCGATAGCATGAGTTTTGCGGCCGTATTCCAGGCGCTAACACGTCGTATATATTTCCAGAAATCGCACGTCTTCACCGTCGCATTGTAGAGCGTACGCGGCGGATCTGGTCGCAGGGCGCCGCGTCGCTTGCTCGGGTGCTGCACGAGCACCAAGTGCCACAGAGGTATGGCCACATCCTGATGCACATACGTGATCGATGAGAGTGAATTGTTTCGCTCATGCAATTTCATCACCAGCCGATATTTGGGCGTGTCCCAAGTGCTAAAGTTCAGCGGCTTCATTAAATAGCAGTACTGCGAAACAAATATACAAATCAGAAGTTGAACAAAGACAAACACTTTGAATTGAATCGAATTTTGATAAAAGTTTATGCAAATATATCAGTTTAATCCGCGAATTGACTCTACTTGAAATATATTGTTTAAATTTATATTTTCTATGATAGAATATTTTCTCATTTAGAGAAAAATTCCGTGCAAATAATAATAACTAGTAACTAAAATTCGTATAATAATTTTGCTATTGATTTAAAATTAAGTCTTTGATTTCATTTTTTTCTCAAAAATTCGCTCAATTCTTGTTGTTTTTTCCGAGTGTACAGACTGTTTCCTTTTATTTGATTATTCACTTCAGAATCTGATCAGCTCGTGTGTAACAAATTGAAGGAGACATCATCTATTCAATAGACAAGCCAATTATCTCTTATATGTGCTATAAAGCTTCTGGCTCTCTCACTCTCGCTTTCCCCATCTCACTCGCCATTGCAAAGAACTCACCTGTTTGGCCAGCTGCACAAGTGCGAGCATTGTCAGAGTTTGGAACACACGTCTTTTGTAGTTCATAATGTGAAACCAAATGTTCAAATTGTTTACTAAAATTGATTCGTAGCCAGGTTTTTTCGCTTGTCTAATGATTATTTAATTGATTTTTGATAACGTTTTTTTTTGTTGTGAAGCACACATATTGTTTTAATGGCTCACTTAAATAAAAATAAATAAATAAAAATAACAAAAAAATTAAATTAAAATAAAAGCAAATAAAAATTAAAATATCTCTGCCGCACACATAAAAAATACAAACAACGCTGTAAAATGTAATTATAATATTTAGCCTTTCACATAATGCGCCCAGATCTCTGGGCAGATTGTGTGCCGGGCTTATTTACTTGGGCCTTCAGTCAACAACAGATATAAAGCAGTAACTGAGACGGCTTCGAGGGTGTTGGCAACATTTTAGATTGTGGGGAATTGTTTACATATCAACATCAACATCAACATCGCCATCGCCATCAGCTTCATCTTAATCATCATCTTCATTAGCGTCGTCATCATCATTAGTTGCTTTATGGTTGGCATCACAGTTTTGCAACAGTAATTGTTAAACTTTTATTGTTGACTTAGCTAATTAGCTTTCGCTTACAAAAGTTGGCTTTACAGTTTTGATGGCGCCTCTGAAGCAGATATCCGTAACAGTTACATTTGGCTCACATACATATACGTAAAGCCCTTTCCGGTTTCCGGTTGCTGTTTCTGCTTCTGTTGCCCAGCTTCTCGCAGCTCGCATTGAACATGCAAAGTGTCGGCTGCTGTGACACCGCAACAATAGCAGGCAACAATAATCAGAACAACCATAACAACAATGACCGCTGCCAGCCTTGCAAAGTCCTTTGTTTACACACACACACACACACACTCATACGCTCATATATATATACACACACACACACACACCCCCGCTTCACTTGAATATATCTCATATTTACTCACGGGTTATTTTCCAGCAAATATTTGCATTGCTTACCAGCAGCTTTTTCATGACATTGGCTTTTCCACAATTTACATTTTACCCATTTTCCACACTCTTGCCAATTTTCCATTTCCCTAGCCTACTTTGCGGCTGTTTCTTGACTTTGTTGTAGCTGTCGCGTTTATCTGATGCACAACAAAAAAAAAATTACGCGTCTCCCCCTTTTTCTGTCTATCTCGCTCTCCCGCTCTCTCGTTCTCACTTTCTCTGTTGATTTATAATACAAAGCAACATCATAAAACTGCTTCACTCAATTTTCAATTTTCACAAAAACACACACACACACATACACAATGAGGGGTGTGTAGGAGACAGTGGCATCTACAATTTTCCTTACCCCCCACCAAATAACAACAATGACAAAAGCAACAGAAGCAACAACAATGGCTACCAATGCAAATGGCCGTCGTGTCGTTTGTCTGTTGGTTGTCTGGTTGTCTGATTTGTTGGCCCAGATGATTGGACTCAGCCTCGTTGTTGTTGCTGCTGCTGCTGTTGTTTTGTGGATCTTGGTTTTTGGGGTTGGGTTACTTTTGCCATTTGTTTCGTTGCCCTGACTACAATTGCGCCAAAGAGTTGAGCGAGCAACTTGCGAGATTTCAGCTGAAAATTGGAAATTTAATGTAAAGAATAATGGAATCAATTTACTTTTGCATTTCCTCACAGCTCTTGTTGGGTAGACTTTATGTTAACATATTTCAGTCCTCCTTCGTCAGTACTATATATTCTCTAGCTATTTACTGCAAAAAAGTTTTATATACGCAAGGGTTATAGAAATCAATCGATGGTTTGATAAAGTAGAGCTTTTACCTGCAGTACATTAAATTCGCTTCGAGTTTTCATTGTGTTTTGACGCGCATTTAGCTAGTATCATCACATTTGTTTATGGCCGAATATCTAAAAGAAATGTTTAAAGCCTTTCATGTGCTTGCAGCACAATGAAGTCGCTTTGAGCTTTCATGTGCTTTTAAAGCGCTTTCAATGGAAATCAGTTGTGTCTTAATATCTAAAAGAAGTGCTTAAAAGATTACTTGTGCTTGCAGCACAAAAATAGCGATTAAGGTTTATTTTGCATGCATATGTAAACTAAATGCTTTGAAGTATTCATGTGCTCTGAAGCTTTATTTACTCGAAATCATTTGATTTTTGGTCAAAATTCATGTCGAAATGGTACCCTCAAATATCCTATGTAGACATAGGTCAAAATTTCCCACCCCATAACTCGGTCAAATCTCATCCGATTTTCAAAAAGTTTGGCTTTTTGTTCATGGTTTGGGCTCTAGATCAATGTTGCATCTAAATCTGACAACATCATTTTTGGTCAAAATTCATGTCAAAATGTTACCCTCAAAAATCTTATACAGACAAAGGTCAAAATTTCCCACCCCATAACTCGGTCAAATCTCATCCGATTTTCAAAAAGTTTGGCTTTTTGTTCATGGTTTGGGCTTAAGATCAAAGTTGTATCTAAATCTGACAACATCATTTTTGGTCAAAATTCATGTCGAAATGGTACCCTCAAATATCCTATGTAGACATAGGTCAAAATTTCCCACCCCATAACTCGGTCAAATCTCATCCGATTTTCAAAAAGTTTGGCTTTTTGTTCATGGTTTGGGCTCTAGATCAAAGTTGCATCCAAATCTGACAACATAATTTTGGTCAAAATTCATGTCAAAATATTACCCTCAAAAATCTTATACACACATGGGTCAAAATTTCCCACCCCATAACTCGGTCAAATCTCATCCGATTTTCAAAAAGTTTGGCTTTTTGTTCATGGTTTGGGCTCTAGATCAAAGTTGCATCCAAATCTGACAACATAATTTTGGTCAAAATTCATGTCAAAATGTTACCCTCAAAAATCTTATACAGACATAGGTCAAAATTTCCCACCCCATAACTCGGTCAAATCTCATCCGATTTTCATAAAGTTCGGCTTTTTGTTCATGGTTTTGACTCGAGATCAAAGTTGTATCTAAATCTGACAACATAATTTTTGGTCAAAATTCATGTCGAAATCGTACCCTGAAATATCCTATGTAGACATAGGTCAAAATTTCCCACCCCATAACTCGGTCAAATCTCATCCGATTTTCAAAAAGTTTGGCTTTTTGTTCATGGTTTGGGCTCTAGATCAAAGTTGCATCCAAATCTGACAACATAATTTTTGGTCAAAATTCATGTCGAAATGGTACCCTCAAATATCCTATGTAGACATAGGTCAAAATTTCCCACCCCATAACTCGGTCAAATCTCATCCGATTTTCAAAAAGTTTGGCTTTTTGTTCATGGTTTGGGCTCTAGATCAAAGTTGCATCCAAATCTGACAACATCATTTTTAGTCAAAATTCATGTCAAAACATTACCCTCAAAAATCTTATACACACATAGGTCAAAATTTCCCACCCCATAACTCGGTCAAATCTCATCCGATTTTCAAAAAGTTTGGCTTTTTGTTCATGGCTTGGGCTTAAGATCAAAGTTGCATCTAAATCTGGCAACATTACTTTTGGTCAAAATTCATGTCAAAATGGTACCCTCAAATATCCTATGTAGACATATGTAGGTCAAAATTTCCCACCCCATAACTCGGTCAAATCTCATCCGATTTTCAAAAAGTTTGGCTTTTTGTTCATAGTTTTGACTCTAGATCAAAGTTGCATCTAAATCTGACAAATAATTTTTGGTCAAAATTCATGTCGAAATGGTACCTTCAAATATCCTATGTAGACATATGTCAAAATTTCCCACCCCATAACTCGGTCAAATCTCATCCGATTTTCAAAAAGTTTGGCTTTTTGTTCATGGTTTGGGCTTAAGATCAAAGTTGCATCTAAATCTGGCAACATCATTTTTGGTCAAAATTCATGTCAAAATGGTACCCTCAAATATCCTATGTAGACATAGGTCAAAATTTCCCACCCCATAACTCGGTCAAATCTCATCCGATTTTCAAAAAGTTTGGCGTTTTGTTCATGGTTTGGGCTTAAGATCAAAGTTGCATCTAAATCTGGCAACATTACTTTTGGTCAAAATTCATGTCAAAATGGTACCCTCAAATATCCTATGTAGACATAGGTCAAAATTTCCCACCCCATAACTCGGTCAAATCTCATCCGATTTTCAAAAGGTTTGGCTTTTTGTTCATAGTTTTGACTCTAGATCAAAGTTGCATCTAAATCTGACAACATAATTTTTGGTCAAAATTCATGTCGAAATGGTACCCTCAAATATCCTATGTAGACATAGGTCAAAATTTCCCGCCCCATAACTCGGTCAAATCTCATCCGATTTTCATAAAGTTTGGCTTTTTGTTCATAGTTTTGACTCTAGATCAAAGTTGCATCTAAATCTGACAACATAATTTTTGGTCAAAATTCATGTCGAAATGGTACCCTCAAATATCCTATGTAGACATAGGTCAAAATTTCCCACCCCATAACTCGGTCAAATCTCATCCGATTTTCAAAAAGTTTGGCTTTTTGTTCATGGTTTGGGCTCTAGGTCAAAGTTGCATCCAAATCTGACAACATGCTTTTTGGTCAAAATTCATGTCGAAATTACCCTCAAAAATCTTATACACACATGGGTCAAAATTTCCCACCCCATAACTCGGTCAAATCTCATCCGATTTTCAAAAAGTTTGGCTTTTTGTTCATGGTTTGGGCTTAAGATCAAAGTTGCATCTAAATCTGGCAACATCATTTTTGGTCAAAATTCATGTCAAAATGGTACCCTCAAATATCCTATGTAGACATAGGTCAAAATTTCCCACCCCATAACTCGGTCAAATCTCATCCGATTTTCAAAAAGTTTGGCGTTTTGTTCATGGTTTGGGCTTAAGATCAAAGTTGCATCTAAATCTGGCAACATTACTTTTGGTCAAAATTCATGTCAAAATGGTACCCTCAAATATCCTATGTAGACATAGGTCAAAATTTCCCACCCCATAACTCGGTCAAATCTCATCCGATTTTCAAAAGGTTTGGCTTTTTGTTCATAGTTTTGACTCTAGATCAAAGTTGCATCTAAA